TTTACTTATAACATATCTATTTATATGTTGTTGTTGTTGTTATGTGCCCTCGAGTCGAACCTGACTCATAGCGACTGCTCCTTGGGTTTCTGAGGCAGTATCACTGCCCCATCTTCTTCCTGAGGAGTGGCTGATGGGTTTGAACCGCCAGCCTTCTGGTTAGCAGTCAAGTGCCTTAGGCACTACACCACCAGAGCTCCTATCTATTTATACATACAAACATAAAATATGCCTATTTATATCTAAGGAGCCCTGGTGGCACAACAGGTAAGTACTTGGCTGCTACCAAAAGGCTGGTGGCTCAAACGCACACAATAGCTCTGTTGGAGAAGGGCCTGGCAATCTGCTGCCGTGAAGATTATAGCATCAAGAACCTGTGGTACAGCTCTGCCCTGTCACATGGGTCCCAACGGCCCTAACGAGGATGGCATTTTGTATTTATGTATATTGTGCATTTTTTCATAACAATAATTTAAATAAAGAACAAGTTAATTTTTCTTTTATGATTAGTACCTTGTGTGTCCTGTTGAAGAAATCGTTGCCTATCACATGGTTATGAAAAAATTCTATGTTTACTTCTAGCAACTTTACTTTTTTCCTTTCACATTTAACTTTTGCAAATGATGTGAAGTAAGGGTCAAGTTAATTTTTTTTTCACATAGACATCAAAGTTGATTCAGAATCACTTATTGAAAGCACCATTCTATCTTTCATTGAATTTCAGTGCTGCTTTGTTTCAAATCATGTAAGCACATACTTATGAGCCTATTAATGGAATCTATATTTTATTCCATTTATTTATTTATCTTTCTATTTGCCATAACATGGTGAGGCCAGAACTTCTATGCAAAGATTTTTGATTATTCAGTTATTCAGTTTCTTTAATGATTAGAATACTATTCAAGGTTTCTATTTCTTCTTGTGTCAATTTTGCTAAGTTATACATTTATAGCATTAAATGATATCATAATAGCTTCTGTGTATCATCTTTCTATTTTATATTTGTTTTCTATTTGATTATGCTATTAATTTTAATTTCTTTTAATTCCTTTAGATTTGTTTTATCTTTTACACTTTTTTCTTTTTTTTTAATTTCCAGAGGTAGATGGTTAGGATATTAATTTCAGCCTTCTTTTCTAATGTCCTATTTAAAGATCTAAATTTCCATGAAAGTGCTGCTTTGGCTGCATCCTACAAATGTAAATAGAATTTTTGTCATCATTCAGTTAAAAATATTTTATACTTTATGATGTTTTCTTTAGCTCATGGGTTATTTAGAAAAATATTTTTTAATTTCCAAGCACAGAAGCATTTTTTAAGCTGTAATTTTGTTATTTATTTTCAGCTTAATTGCATTGTAGTCACAGAACATATTCTGCATGATTTCTGTCCTTTGAAATGTATTAAAACTTGCTTTATGGCCCAGACTATGATTGTTTTGCTAAATGTTCCGTGCGCATGTAAAAT